CTCAGGTTGATGGGAGTCAGAGTTCACACTCTGACTCCCTGTTCTTCTTCCCACGCGGGCTCAGTGTGTTAGCTGGGAGGAGTGACGTGCAGTCACATCCTCACAGCAGTGATGATCTCATCACAGGGGACCCGGTCGCGCTGTTAGAGCGCCCAGCACTGACTGGGCCCCCTGACAATCCATATCCATCGGCTGGCCCTGACAGCATGAGCCACCTGATGGGCACCTTAACATGCGGCCCCGGTGGTTTGCCGCGCGGGCCGGGGCAGGAAATGATGATGGCAGGCACCTCGTCGCAGAGGTCTGCAGGGCGGCTGGGCCCCCTGGAGAGAAGGGCCCGGTTGCAGCTGCGACCGCGGTATGTACACCTTTGTCCCCAACCCAGTCCTCTTGGACCACCAACAGTCCAGGTTTTGTCAGTATCTCAATTGGAATAAGACAGGGAAATACGTAAAAATCCTGGACTGTTGGTGGTCCATGAGGACTGGGTTGGGGACCACTGTTCTAAAGATCTGTCCATCATTGCTCATCGTATGCCCTGGTGCTCTGTCCACCATTGTTAATAGTTGGTTACTTTAAGCAGAGCTTATGCAATATTAAAAGAACACTCCGAGCACCATAACCACTGCAGTGCACTACATGGAATCCGCTGAGTGGGGGTCACCTCCTACATGAGAGCTCTGCATTAATCTAAGCCTGGCTATACAGTGCTATCCTCATTGGCTTAGAGTGATCAGCTACCAGCTAGGCATGTGCAGGAGGAAGTGACCTGTGTTGGTTATGGTGCTTAGAATGTTTGGTTATTTCCTTTCATTGAGTGCCATCTCTTGGTGCAATGAGATACATTGAGTATTGGTAGCCCATAATCACAGATATCTTGAATCCTACTTTGCATTTGTTTAGGGAAAAATAAAAAATAAATTATCCTTTTTATGATTATTGAAAATAATATAAGATTGTATGTAATTTAGCCTTGTCGTGTATTTTTTTTATTTTGGGTAGCTACTGACTGGCTTAGAGTGTTAGCCAACTGCTCTAAGCAAACAGTGGTGCCCCTGCCTACAATATTTTGTATTTATTTGTAGTGAGAAAATTTTCTTAGATACTAGGGTAGGCAACTTTTTAGCAGCACTGTGCCGAAATATGATTGTGATGTCCCGTAGCATGTCAGTCCTATTTCTTTAAATTGAGGTGTGCATGTTGCCATATTCTGCTTGTGTTATTTATACTGCATTTGCTTTGTATCGTTGTATTTGTGCGTACATGAGCTATTATATTGTATATGTTCATTAATAGTTTGTGGTATCATGTATAATACCTATGAATTTGGGCTGTGTATGGGGGTTGCTTGTGGAATTGTGTGTGTGGATGGATATGTCACATTGTGTATTTGGTAGTGTGAGTATGTGTGGGGCTGGTTGGGGTATTGCATGTGAGAGGCTGCATGTGGGGTTGTGTGCATGTATGTGGATTGTTGGTGGTGTTGTGTTTGTGCGGACTGTGTGCATGTTTGTATTATTTTTATGAAGGGAGGGTTATTCTGCAGCTCTGAGGCTTCCCTGGGTTTTAGTGGGGGCCAGGCTGGCCAGGTACAGCTCAAGGACAGAAGCTGCAACAGGAAGCTGTGGGTTGCTCTACTCCAGTGTGGATTCCTATTCACAAGTGCTGGAGGAAGTGATCTGAGATCACTTCCTCTACGTGCTGCAATGCATAAATGGAGGATTGTCCTTCACCACCTTTTCGTATTAGCAGATATCTGAAGTTTCACTGGGACTCCTGACAGGCCAGAGCCTATTTGGCTCTTGTAGCCTTGAGTGCCGTGCAAAGGCACGTCGAGTGCCGTGCATGGCACTAGTGCCGTAGGTTGCCTACCCCTGTACTAGGGTATACGCTCTGCTCTAAGTAGAAAACATCTAAAAACTAGTTCTGCAACCATTTATGATTGGATTTGGGATACATTATGAAGATGGATTTACATTGTAAACAAAGTTAAAACTGATTATCTTATATTACTGTGATTACCAATTTGATTACCATGATTAAAGGTTTTAACCCCTTCAGCCCAGCGGGAGGGGGACCCTGAGGGTGAAGGGGACGTAAAGATTATATAGTGTCAGGAAAACTAGTTTGTTTTCCTGACACTATAGTGATCCTTTAAACCTGCTCTGTGTGTAATAACCTAAAGTTCTTTGATGTTGTGTGGGAGTGGAGCACAGTGCCACTTTGATCACAGACTTCTCTATTTTTTCCTTGCAGTGCTTTGAGAATAAACTATTGATGGGCAGCACACAGGGATATGACACATGACTGATACAATCTAGCAACACAACCAATGGAATGCTTCAAAGAGATAACTTAATTCCATAAAGCCTTGTTTTACTGGATTGTATGTCTTTAACATGAAATAATAAAGAAATATGTTTGAAATTAATCTGGTCTTTTTTTAAGATTGCATAAGATTTGGTATCAATACAGTTACAAATTTTCATGTAGCGCCAAG